CGTATGACCTGATTTCTGACATATTTTCTTTGTCATGGCTCAACTAAATTTCTGTTATGCCAAAATGGCAGATGGAGAATATAACTTTCCAAACTAAAGACAAGCAACTTCCCCTATGCCACACCCATTCGGAAGGCAGAGCTGAGTAACAGCCTTCAGAACAGCCCTCAACTACATCATATACCAAGAACTTTTAATGACTTTGCCAGAAGGTGTCTAGCAAGGAGACCATAAAAGGAGAAGTCCTGGCTGCAGGATGCTCCCCTGTACATGTGTATGTTGTACTGCAGCACGTCAAACTGAGAGACAGGAACTCATTTCGGGCCCAGAAATGACTGTCATTCTCAAATGAAACATTTTTGCACATTAGATCACAATATGAATTTCTGGGTTAAAGGGAGCCAGTTAATTAGAAGAATTAAGAAAATAAATGTAATAGACCTAGAAATTTCATCATGAGGCTGAAAGACTAGAATTCTCACTGAGATGTTTTTCCAGAGTATAGCCTACTGTCACAACTTGAATGTAGCACTTGTTCTTTTCTGTGCTAGTAATAATTTTTAAGAAGTTGAGAATGTCAACTGTAAATAAAAAAAATAAAATAAAAAGTATTGAATGCAATTACCTAGTGGCTAGTATATGTAGTGGAAATATTTGTGATTGATCTAATTGGAAGTTTCTATAGTTCTGACTGTCATGAGCTCAGTTATCACTCCTTTGCCTTAGAAGGCGAAGCAATAACAAAGTCAGAAAAGGAAGGACATGAGCTGGGATCATAAGTACATTTAGAGTAACAGATAAGATGTGGAAGGGGCAAGGATAGCTGAAGCAGTGGTCATCCAGTCATATACTGTACACAACCTCTTTTATGGGCTTTCACAACTACTAGGACATAGCACTTAACCTGGGCTTCACAAAAATCTCCCTCCTCTTTCCAGAGGGATAGTAAAAGTGAAAACTGGAATTTACTTTATGCATTTTTGCCATCTACATTCTAGCAGGCAGACACACCTTTACTCTGCTTGTAAACATCTTTATGCAAAGACAGATGCTGAGGGTTTCAGGACAGACCTGCTGACAGCGGATTTCTGGGTGTCCTGTTTGTGCATTTTGATAAAGGGAACCTGCTGTCTCAATCCTTCCCCAGACAGAGATGAATGGCAGGAGAAGATACAATACCTGCCTGGGAGGATGGTCATTAATCCAGGCCACAAAGGAATAGAAAACTTAACCTGATGCTGACCAACCTTTAAAGCTATCATTCCTAGAGATAAATCTAGACAGTCTTGTTCCATGGCAAACTCATGGAACAAGGGCCCAATTATGGCTGTACATAACTTTTATTTATTTATTTTTTAATATTTTTATTGATTTCAGAGAGGAAAGAAGAGGGGGAGAGAGACAGAAACATCAATGATGAAAGAGAATCATCATTGATTGCCTCCTTTAATTCCCTTCCCTGGGGATTGAGCCCACAACCCACGTGTGCCCCTGACTGGATTGAACTCAGGAACCCCCAATCCGCAGGCCAATACTCTATCCACTGAGCCAAACCAGCTAGGAATGGCTGTACATCACTTTTAAAGGGCTTTAAATCTGCAGGACACCCATTAATGAAAGAAACTCATTACAGACTGATTCATTTGCCTTTCAGCATAACCATTATTGCTTGTCTCATTTTTTATTCTTACAAGTATATTTCCAGTAGGACATGATCTTACTCATCTAGGGGAAATGGTGAACAACATAGACTGATGAACAAGAACAGACCCAGATATAAGGAGCCATGAGTCAGACTGTTGGACCTCAGAGGGAAAGTGGGGATAAAAGGGAGATATCAACCAAAGGACTTGTGTGCATACGTATGAGCCTAACCAGTGGTCAAGGACAATAGAGGGATGGGGCATGAGTGGGGAGGGTTGGGGAATTGGAATGGGGATTTGAAGACACATATGTAAACCTTAATCAATTAAAGAAATTTTAAAAAAAGCCGTAGGACAGTAATAGTCAAGATTCTAAATATACCTTTCCTATTCTCTCATTTAGGCATGTATGATTTTGGTGAAATATTATCATTTAGAACACCACAAAGAAATTAATATCTCACCCCAAACAGTTTGACTCAGTGAATAGAGCATTGGCCTGCGGACGGAAAGGTCCCAGGTTCGATTCTGGTCAAGGGCACATGCCTGGGTTGAGGCTCAATCCCCAGTACGAGGCATGCAGGAGCAGCTGATCAGTGATTCTCTCATCAATGATGTTTCTATCTCTCCCTCTCCCTTCCTCTTGAAAACCAATAAACAACAAAAAAGGTAAATATCTCATTGTGTTATTATAAGGATTAAACAAAAACTTAAACATATATACTATATTAATATATTTGTATATACTGCAAATGTTTTATATGTTATAATTTAGTATACATATGAAAATTATAACTGATACCTTTCATTCAAAATGATGGATCTGAATAATGGCTCCCCTTCATTTTTGGGGGACTCTGTACACCAGGATGGGACAAGCTAGAGAATGACAAAACGATCTAAGCCTTAGCAAATGGAAGCAAACTGAAGAGGTCAAAGTGGGGTGACAAAGGCAAAAGTAGGATATGCTGTGAAGGTGAGGAGATTCAATGAACAGTTTATTTTCATGGTAACCTAAGTGTGTTAGCAGGACGTCAAGCCATGTCTAACTTACCCGGAAAAAAATATAAATTATGGTTGTACACACCTCTAATTTCCCTTCTAGTTATTAAAACTAAAGGAAAGGACGGGGGCTGAAAAATTAAAATGCGCTAGCATATTCCCTAATTTCTCCCTCACTCCCTCCTCAGAGTACTTTGATATTAGAACCACAAGCAGCACTCAGTTTACAGTGGGGGTGGGTGGGGAGGAATAGGGCAAGGATGTGGATGCCGATAGAATGAACAGATGTAAATGAACATTGACCAACCAGCAACACCCTTCACCAGAACACTAGACTACTAATATTGAGGCGACAAATTCATAGCTGCTATTAAAAACAAGATTACAGTCTGTATCAGCCCAAAAGAAAGGCAAACACCAAAGGGAAGGACAGTAGGGCATTAGAGAAATCAGCCCACTGTTACTAACCAGGGAACACCACAAGACCCCGTAGGAAACCACAGTTTAAGTCAATCAGTGCAAGGAAGGTGAAGAGGCGATGTAAATTCAGGTCATGCTGAAGCCGAGGGGAGGTGAGAGCACAGGTGGGCTGTGGGGAGCACAAGGAGGAGGCAGTCTGACATAGGAAATCGAGGGGGAAGGAAGAGGAGAGGGAGGAGGTGGTAGCAGAAGAAAGAGAAGGTAAGATGAGAACAGAACATTTTAAACTAACCCAGAACTCCATTGTGAAGGACAAGTCACGAGGCAAGACTCAGCTCAAAGGCATGAGCCCCACGCCCCACCACTGCAGAGGATAACACAGCCTTCTAAGCGTGTACAGAGAGGGGCCTAGGCAATCTGCACCGACTCCCAGAGCCATCCAGGATCGCTGAGTCTCCTGAGCAGCACCAAGTCCCAGCAGCCTTGGTGGGTACATTGTAATTGCTTCCCTGAATAGACCCCAATGCTGGAAAAATAATCCCATTTACAGGGAACATATTTCACTACAGGTGTCTGCCTGGCTAAGGAGTGGAGACACTTTCCCTTCACTGTTGCTATGTGTGCCCACCATCACCTAGAGTGGATGCAAGGAAGAATGACATGTGCTCAGAATCAGAGGGTAGCTGGGCTCTTCTCTCAGTCGATAACAGAGGCCACCGTGCCTGCCCCACTTGCCACACCAGTGTTCACAGCATGCCTGCCTTTCTTCCACATTTACATCTTCCTCAGACAAATGAATCTCCCAGTTAGTCTTCCTTCTGCTTCCAAGTACACAATTGCTAGTGTGCGTTTAAGGATCGCATCAGGAAGGTGAACTGGTACAAAGGGTGTTCCCACCTTTTCAGTTCTTTCTGGCAGAGAGATTGCTCAAACATACCCTAAAGCTTGGTTGCAATATGTCGCCTGGAGATTAATCATTCAGCTCAGGAAACAGAAGGTTGAGGGGAGGCAAGAACTCTTAAGATCCCAGACCTGACCAGGCTATCTCAGGATGGAGAAGAAAAAAGAAAAATGACCAACAGGCTATCCTATTCCAATACTGCCAATAAAAGAGGAGGAATAAAATACTTAACCACTCTTTTCTCTCTCTTGTTTTACATGTTTGAGAATACAACAAAGAATAGGAATCAAAACAAAAAGTCAATGTCCAATCCGATATAAGCCAGAAACGCTGTTTCAGAATGGAAACAATGAATGGCTTCGAAAGGCCATGAGCACCAGGTCAGTGAAGGCAAAACCCAGAAGTCAGATTGGGAAGCTTGAATTCTGGAGTCCGGGGGTAACTCTGCTCCTTTAGCTCACTCAGTCACCTAACTACCAACTAAAAGAAGAGGAAGGAGTCACTTCGAAACCCCTCACATTAACCTGACAGGCAACTTTCAAAGGATCCTTACTGGGGATGGAGGGAGAATGAGAAAGTTTAGGTAAAGGAGTAAAACCTCAAAGTACAAGTGTGATCAAGGGTTCTAAGAAAACCCAACTTTATTTTCTTTTTAATCTCTCAATATCTACTCTGCTTCAGAGCGAAAAAACACCAAGCCTCCTGCCTCCCAGGTGTGAAGACAGTCTACGAGATGCATTCCACAGGCACTGCTCACACAAAAGGGAAGTAAGCACAGCCGCCATCTTCTCCCAGTGTGGCCCGGGGTCCAATGGACAGCCTGTTCCCACAGGTCCTGGTGAATCAGCAACAACTGCCAGAGATGGGCGTGCCCAGGGCATTTTAACCCTCCATCCCTCACCCCATCCAATTACTCATAAATAATAACTTAAAGGTTTGAAGCAAGAATGTCAACCGCTGCTGCTCAGTGACCAACTTGGAAGCACTTCTAGCTTGGGAGTAGAGGGAAGAAAGCAAGCTGAGTATGTACTTACTCAAAGTCCTCAAATTCCAAGTCGGTTCCCTCTACTGATGGACCCTGGTTGTCTGAAGAAGAGGAGGAGGTGGAAGAGCGAAGCCGGTTCTGTTGGTAGCGCATGGAGCGCTGGCGAATACTGTCTCTCCGTGAAAGATACTGGATCATCCTCTGAGCGTAGTATGCAGCAGGAGATAATCTGAGAGAGACAGAGATGGACAAACACAAACTAGCACTAATGTGGGGGAAACTGTGAAAAACAGTAAATCCAGTTCTCCCCTGGCATCTCCCTGCTGAGACAATCCGGAGACATGAAAAATAAAGACATTTAACTCACCAGGAGATTTGTACTGCACAATATGCTTATCAGATATTACCACCAATGTTTCTGTTCTGAGATAAGGCAAAGAGACTGTCTAATCAGTCCTTATCTGATCAACAGCTGTCCCCTCCCAAGAGAATAACACTTCGACTTTTTTTAGTCTCTTAAGGGAGCCCTTTAAGACTCACAGCATTCCCTCAATCATCCTTACGTAGAATACAAGAAATAAAGGGATCACAGCAATCATCAATAAGTCATCTCTTCTTTCCGTTTTAGATGAGGAAGCAGGCCAGGAGACAGGAAACCTGAGATCACTAAAGAAGGCATGCACAGGCATTTTCACCAGGAGCCCCTTTTTTCTCCAACAAACAGACATACTCTAGATTTGTTCTAGCTCCTTAAAATGATCTGAGCCTCTTCTCTCTCCTTTAACAATTTATTCAGAGATATTTGTAACAGAAGATATAGACTGAGAGTAAAATATACTTGGAAAAACAGAAAAACCTAAAAGGATAAAAACAAAATTTTCTGCCTTGCAAGAGAGCATCAGAAGCTATATGGGGACTGAGCAGTACAGAAGACAACAGTCTTTGCTTTTCTTCTCCCTTACTAGAGAGACTATTCTCAGTAAAGAGTCTAGACCTGCATTCTTCCAGCTGCTTAGTGTCTTCATATTCCTTGAAAACATCAAGTATCCCCTACAATGTGCCGCATTCTCTTCTTTCTCAAGTTTTCACTCCATCTTTCACAACATCATTATATAATTTGAGGCTATTAACTGAGAATGTGAGAGATGAACTGTAGAAGAATGTTTTATATGATAGTATTAAATGGATTACTAAGAAATTTCCAGACTTAAAACCTGCCTGAGGTATACACTGACTCAACAATTCCAATGGAAATTTTAGCCTACAGAAACACACAAGGATACAAAGATACAGAGATTAGAATTAATGAAAACCTGGGAAACACCCCAAATGCCCATTAACAGATTAAACAAACTATATCCATACAAAGAAACACTATATAGCTATTAAAAAGAACAAATTATCCCTATATGCACACATGAAACCTTCTAAAATATAATTTTAAATGGAGGAAAAATTGAAGAATGGTATGTATATACTAATATGTATGTAAGCGATATAGTTCTGTATTTAAAACAAAAAATTAAAAGGGAACACAGCAATCCTAATGAGGATTACCGAGGACCTGAATTTATATAATGTTTAAATATAAAAGGAAAACAGCATGTCTATTTTTTTTTTAATGGAAACCTGGAAACACTGATTGAGAATGGAAATAAAGGAGTTATATCCAAATGGTAGGAAAAGTATTTACAAACATCTTGCTGCCTGACCTTTCATTACCCTGGCAAAGTCTCTAGGCAAATCTTCAATAAATCTACTGACTCAGGGCAAAGGAGATCCTGGAATCAACTGCTATAGGACCTGAGGCTGCTTTTTAAATAACAGAAGTGGTGGTCCTGTGCCAACCATCAAATGGATTCCCAAGCAGGCCAGCTGACAATCTTTGGAACTCAAATGTCTATGTTATGAAACAAGATGCTGGCACCTGAGTCCAAATTATCTTTATATAGCTATCTTTATACAGCGGGTGGGCATGGGATGAACAGATGCTTTGGCCAAGATCATGAGAGCACAAGAATAATTTTTTAAAGGTATTAACTTGTAGAACTTCATTATTTGTATGGGCCTGTTCCTATGCAGTTTGCAAAAATTAATCAAGAATCCTCTATTTTCAACAAATAGAAGTCAACACTATTGAGTTGTTCCTGTATCTACCAAATATTTAAAAAAAAAACAAAAAAAACCAAACAAACAACAAAAAAAAAACAAAAAAAAAACCTTCCAGCATAAATCAACCATTATTGCCTAAATTCTTAAGTCAATCAGACTAGAAAAGTAATTAAAAAAGTTAAGAGGAGAATAAAGATTATTGTGTTTTTTTTGGAATTGATTCTGAAAAGTGACCACAAGAACATTCATTCCTGAGTTTATAACCAACCCTAACTAATGGGAAAATTTTGCAAATATTATTGGCGATAGTGGCAAAAATAATGTTGAAGCTGACAATAAGACTGTTATTTCATATGCTAGGGCACAATCTCAGCACTAGGTAACCCCAACTGTTTATTTCACTACTGAAAGCTGGGTGCACAACATTCATGCACTTGGGGGGCGGGAGGTGTGTCTCAGTCCAACCTGTGCTCTCTCACAGTCCAGGAGCCCTCAGGGGATGTCCGACTGCTGCAGAGGAAGGAGAGGCTCCAGCCACTGCTGCCAAGCCACTGCTGCACTCACCAGCCTTGAGCCCGGCTTCTGGCTTCTGGCTTCTGGCTGAGCAATGTTTCCCCTGTGGGAGCCCACTGAACACCAGGAGGCAGCTCCTGTAGTAAGCATCTGTCCCCTGGTAGTGTGCATCATAGCAACCGGTCGTTTGGTCAATTTGCATATTAGCCTTTTATTATAGAGGATAGGACAAAAATTCCCTGAACTATAGAACTAGGCATCAACGATTTTTTAAAAAGGATTCTTGGCACAATTACTAACTACAAATACATTCCTATCCTTGTCTTTTTGGGTATCTAGAGGGCAGCTAAGGATCTGAATGCTGAGTGCTCTGGCCTATACATACTGTGCACAGGGTGAATCTAAGAGAAAAAAGAAATGAAACCATCAGTAATGAGGTATCAATCCTCCTCCCACTGAAGAGCTGGATAACCCCATAAAATTCTGAAGTGTTACAAGTAAAAATTTTAAATGTTTTAATAAATCTTTAAGTTTTCTTAAAGATTTATTAAAACCTTCCCCTTTAAAAACACCTATTTTGTGCTCAAAGGGGAAATGTGAAAACACACAACACTATAAAGTATGATACTTTCTGTTATTTGTTTCTCTGTTAGGAACAAATAACATGAAAGGAGGACAAGTTATGGTCTTTAAGAATTACTGGTAAACTGTCATGTTCTGGGGATGAGATTCCCACTGCTATCCTAAAAGAACTACAAGAAGTTCTCTATCTCAGTGTTTCAGAAAATTTTATTCATGTGAAAATATTCCTTTTCTTATTTAGGGCTATTACTTTTGATTATGATTACGAATTAAAATAAATGTTCTTGCTTCAGGCATCATTTAAACTGTCTACCTGTTTGAAAGTCCTCAATCCCCGTGTTCCCTTATCCTTGGATTCGCCATTCCAAAGGAAGAGGATAATGGGGAACCTTTTCATTAGTATCTCAGAAAGAATGCTCAGCATCATGGGCTAACTGTGCCAACAAGATCATTCAATATCACTGGAATCAACTTGGTCTAAGGTTTTTCTAACTTGAAATTCTTAAACTAGAGCAAAGCTCATTTAGCTCTATGTGACCTGTATTAACTTGCCAGCCCCACCATTATCACACTTTTCTTCTGGCAGAGCCTCACAGTGTGCTCTGGCTCTGCTTAAGTGCAGGTTATCCCTCCTTTAGATCATTAACAATCAGTAAGTCCAACTGTGACAACACCAAAGGGCTTCTCACTATAAACGTTCATCAACTCAAACACTCCAAACTTGGCACTCATTTACCAGTATCAGGTTAAGGCGGGTCTTCAACTCATTTGAAATTTTTTTTTAATCTCTTCAAGAATTTTTAAAATGTCTTCTAATCAGTATAAGTCAAGCATTTAATGAAGTTCCAACTTGTTATATTTAGTTCCATTTGTCAGTCATCTCTTCCTTCAGATAGTCTCAAAATATTCAACAACTAAATGAGCTTGATTTCTGCTTTCTTATATTCTAAACTCTCTCAAATGAGAGCAAGAAGGATTCCTTTATGTTTGAATTTATAGGTAATTTCTCTATTAATAAATACTTTTATTTCCCTTTTGGCTGTCCATCTGAATGAAAACAGTCTCACTGATCTAAGAGAAGAAATATATTCTATCCTATGACTCTGCCAGTGGCATCCCCAGGTTCCTCCTCTAGTGTCACATTCACAGAAATGAGCCCCATAGGATAAGAGCTCAGTCACAAGTCTGTCACCAGAGGTTCTGTTCACTTACCTGCAATACTTCCCAATCACCTGAACCACCTGTCTCAAAACTGTAACTCAAGAGTAAAAGAGCACCAGGACCAGAGAGGCACAAAATGGGGCTTCCAGCAATTGGCAACCCCAAGGGCAGCCCCGCCCCCCCACCTAGTGCCATTTCTCACTTCAGCCTTACCTCGCTGGGTCTGGGTAAATTGGGTGCTCTCTGGATCCTGCTCCATCATAACGGGATAATGAAATGAGGGAAGACTCCAGCAGCCTCCTAGCAGAGATTAAAAAAATGGCAATAATCCCTGTCAATTACCAACTCAGAGGTCATTTATTAAGGAAAATGGGGGAAAAGAAAAATAACATCCCCCTTTGCAGCTAGCTAACACCTGCTATCTGGGATCACACCCTTCCTGCAAGCTAAGTACTTAGAGACATAAATAAGTGAAGAGCTACAGAGCTCCTACCCTGGATATGGCCACTGTATTGTGTAGAACTGGTCTTCAGTGAGAAATGAACAAGTGCTTCAGAGACATGATCTTACTTCTATTTGCAGTACCTCCAGGTGACAAATAGGAGATTATGATCAACACATGAGGAGGCAATTAGGCATACTAGAGATTATCCTATAGTGCCAACACTTATCTTGGTGTTCAGCACCTCCATTTCATCCTAAGCCACATCACCTTATCTTCTACCCATCAATTCTGCTAATACCCTTTTGAAAGAAAGGATGTAAGAAACAATGTCTGGGACTCTTAACAACTGACAAAAATTGCTAATCATAAAATCATAAGGTCATCTGACCATATGTGATACACATATTTTATTGAGCACTCTTTTTGATGCAATACTTTCCAATCACCTGAACCACCTGTCTCAAAACTGTAACTCAAGAGTAAATGAGCACCAGCACCCGGGAAGTTAGGCATTACTGTATATACACGAGAACCTTGGGCTGTGTGGCACACAGCTTTAAGTGATAGCACTAAGCCTCCAGTGAAGGTCTTCAACTCCAAAATGCTTCAAACCACTATGCTATACTGCAGGACCTTCTGCGCTCCAGGCAGATAAAAGTCAATATGTATCCACTGTGAATCCAAGCTAGAATGTGGGCTCAGTATTGGTGGACCTGACTATTTATTAAGAGTAGAAGAAATCTGGACTTTTGCATAAAATCTCCTGTTAAATTTTAGCTAACACAGTGTTCCCTTTTTGTACAACACAGGCCAGTTAAAAACACATCTGATCAACATGGCCACGGGCCCCCCAGTTTGCCATGTCTGCCACACTGTTTCCCAATTCAAATGTGCCTTGGCAGTCAATCAGGCTCCTGACATGGGACACGTTCCTAAGGAAATGGTCTCAGCAAGAAATGCACATTGCTCTTCTCAGACAGCATTTTGCTCTCTGGGAATAGGTCTCTGGCTCCCTGCCAGACTCTTTAAAGCAGATCTGCAGAATAAGGACAGCAGCTACCAATCTTTTACAATTGAGTTAATTCAATTCATTGTTATTAAAACTGGCTGGCTTTGGCTATAGTCATGTGCGGTCACTTTATCCCTGCAACTGGCTGCAGAAGCATTTCCTCTAGCACAGTGGTCGGCAAACCACAGCTCGCGATTCACATGCGGCTCTTTGGCCCCTTGAGTGTGGCTCTTCCACAAAATACCACGGCCTGGGTGAACCTATTTTGAAGAAGTGGCGTTAGAAGAAGTTTAAGTTTAAAAAATTTGGCTCTCAAAAGAAATTTCAATCGTTGTACTGTTGATATTTGGCTCTGTTGACTAATGAGTTTGCCGACCACTGCCCTAATAGCCTGAAGAAGAAGTACAACAGAGGCCCTGTCAACCTAGCTTGCTACCTTTCCCATCCAGAAAAACCCACTGTTAAATGATGTTTCCTCCCTAGAGTAGGCTATAATCCCCACACTTAAAACCAGCCAAAACCGATTTGGCTCAGTGGATAGAGCGTCGGCCTGCGGACTGTAAGGTCCCAGGTTCGATTTCGGTCAAAGGCATGTGCCTTGGTTGCGGGCACATCCCCAGTAGGGGGTGTGCAAGAGACAACTGATCAATGATTCCCTCTCATCGATGTTTCTAACTCTCTATCCCTCTCTCTTCCTCTCTGTAAAAAAAATCAATAAAATATATTTTAAAACAAAAACAAAACACTTTAAACCAGTGATCGCCAACCTTTCGGACCTCACGGACCACCAGTGGCTTTTGGACCACCAACTGGCAACTGCTGCTTTAAACCATTCTACCAGTGAAGGGAGAATACAATAATAAAATATATCTTGCCCAGGAGGTGTGGCTCAGTACATTGAGCATCATCCCATGTATCAAGAGTCACTGGTTCAATTCCAGGTCAGGGCACATGCCTGAGTTTCAGGCTTAATCCCCAGTAGGGGGTGAGCAGGAGGCAATTGACTGATGTATCTTCTCTCTTCATCTCCCTTCCTCACTCTTTAAAATCAATAAAAATATTTTTTTAAATAAATAAAAATAAAATACATCTCTCTGGATGAAAATATGAATCCTCAATGATATCACTGTTTATAGCAGCAGAAATAGTGTTTCAATTCTAAGACATACTTTCCTCCCCACATTTACTGTATTTGAAGTAGAAATGTTTCTTATAATAGTGTGACACAGTTTAATTAGCAGGACTGTTTTCCATTCACAGGGGCACATAAAACAACAGCATGTATTTGAGTCCTGAAATACAGAATGTGATAGGAAAGGGTAACAAGAGATACATAGATTGGAGAAAAAAAGAAAAGTGAAATTATGAGAACAGTATTTAGGGCATTTATGCAAATAAATAATACTAATAAATTAGTTCTATAGGAATCAGGTGAATGGAAGCAAGATCTGGGAGCAGCTGTCCGCCCTGGAGCACCCAGAAGCTTCTTCCATCCCAAAGGGCTCTGGAGTTTAGTCCAGAACATCTCTGAGCCTGGTTGTGCTATCCTATAAATGGCGGCTTAAGAAGCAGAAGCCCTTTGGCAAGGAGCACCCTCCAGAGTGACCAACGTTTAACCTGAAGTATTTCTGCCTAGAAATGATCCTGCTAGGTTAGAAAGCCAATCTGGCCCTTCACTATGCCAAGGAGTGAAAGTATTAAGAGAGATGAGATGACTTTTTAGGAATCCTATAAAGGAGAGTCTTGAACTAGAAGAGTTGAATTAGATAATTTCATTTTTAATGATTCCATTTTAAAATCCTGCAAAGTCTAATTCCCGCCCTAACTTCCAGCTTACCTAAAAGACTTCTTTAAATCAGAGTAAAATCAAAATGTTAAGCTTTGTCTCTTGGGAGACCCTGATGAGGTTCTTTTGGAACATGCATCCCCTGTGCCTACTTACTACAGATCTGTTGGCACCATCTGTTCCCCAAGCAATACAGTGGACTGGCAAGTCATATATATGTGACATTTTAACTGCTAATCCATGAAATCAGGAGATCCAATTACTATGACTAGCACAAACCCCACATAACACTGATGAAACATTAAATTCTCTACAGCTACAACACAAGAACTATCTTGAGGAATAAAAAATACTTTTCCACCAGAACCGGTTTAGCTCAGTGGATAGAGCGTCGGCCTGCGGACTGAAAGGTTCCAGGTTCAATTCCAGTCAAGGGCATGTATCTTGGTTGCGGGCAAATCCCCAGTAAGGGGTGGGCAAGAGGCAACTGATCAATGATTCTCTCTCATCAATGTTTCTAACTCTCTATCCCTTTCTCTTCCTCTCTGTAAAAAATATTTTTTAAAAAACTTTTCCAATTGGTGTTGAATAAAGTAAGAAATATAGTAGACGAGTAAATATCACAACTCCTAGGAATGCCAAAGAAAGAGATTTCTCTCCTACAGTTAGCCTTTTTCAAAGAACCTTCAATATCCTAAAGCCAACAAACATGTTCAGATATTCTGCAATCACTGTAAACAAATAATTGCCAGAACTCAGTGACCTAAAATAAAAAGCCTGCGCCTCGAAGCTAAGATGTCACTGATGTCCATGATATAGAGTAATTTCTCAGCCTGGCTTTGATGTCTGGATGACACCTGCTATTTCAGTTCAGGGGAGCTAAACCCAAACTAATAGCACCCCTCTATATCCAAATTCCTCAGCTTGGCACTCAAAGCTATAAAGCCAAATTTCTCATTCCTTCTGGATATACTGTATGCTCTAGCTCGGTGGATTTCAAAGTTTTTGGTTTCAGAACTCCATTACCAGTCTTAAAAATTATTGAGGACCCCCCAAAGAGATTTTGTTTATAGAGTTTTATCTACTAACTAGAGGCCCTGTGCAAGAATTCGTGCACCAGTGGGGTTCCTCAGCGTGGCCTGTGGGATTGGGCCAAAACTGGCTCTCCCAATATCCCCTGAGGGGTCCCAGATTACAAGAGGGCACAGGCCAGGCTGAGGGACCCCACTGATGCACAACTGAGGCATGGGAGGGACTGAAGGAAGGCTCCAGGGTGCATCCAGCCCATCTCACTCAGTCCCAATCAGCCACACCCCAGCAGCAAGCTAACCTACCGGTCAGAGCATCTGCCCTCTGGTGGTCATGCACAGTAGCTGAGTGGCCTTAGCATATCACCAGCATATTATGCTTTGATTGGTTGAACAGCCAACTAGACAACTAACACTTAGCATATTAGGCTTTTATTATAGAGGATATTGACTATATTTGAAATTAGTACAAAAAATTTTAATACACAAACACACAGTTTATTGGCCAATATACATTACATGGTCATGTAGCCTCTAGAGAACTCCACTGAACACTCATGAAAGAATGAAAAGTGAAAAAGAAAGAACAGCCGAAACCAGTTTGGCTCAGTGGATAGAGCATTGGCCTGCGGACTGAAAGGTCCCAGGTTCAATTCCGGTCAAGGGCATGTACCTTGGTTGTGGGCACATCCCCAGTAGGGGATGTGCAAGAGGCAGCTGATCGATGATTCTCTCTCATTGATGTTTCTAACTCTCTATCCCTCTCTCTTCCTCTGTAAAAAATCAATAAAATCTTAAAAAAGAAAGAAAGAAAGAAAGAAAGAAAGAAAGAAAGAAAGAAAGAAAAGAAAGAAAAAGAAAGAACAGCACTTCAGTTCTGACTTAAGAGATCCCAAGCCACACTTTGGGAAACATTGCTCTAGCAAAACTAAACACCCTCACTGTCTATTTATGTATTTTGCTTAGCCATTTCTTCTTTCTGGAAAGTTCTTCCCCCTCTCTACCTGTAAAAATCCTTCACAGCTCAAATAC